GAAGAAGAGAGAGAGAGAGAGAGAGAGAGAGAGAGAGAGAGAGAGACTGTGTGTCTATGTGTGTTGTGTTTTAATCCACATGGTAACCGTCAGTCCTTCCCACAGCCGGGGGTCTCAGTCTAGGTTCTAGCAATGAGTGGCAGGATTTCAAATCCCTGAATGTGCACGTTTGTGATTTCCCTAACCCTTGGCAGTCCTGGACTCTCAGGTGCCTCTGGGCACTGACAGCATACACTGCCAGATGCATGGTCCTGCTGGCATGGCACACAGTCCATCTTAGATCCTGTCCCTGCACTTGAGTCTTAGAGCCGGAGCCTACTGTGTGCCTCGGTCTCCCCAGGTCTGCCCAGGTCTTCTTGCTCCTTCTCCGTTGCACTGTCCTCCTTCCTTCCTTCCTCTTTCCAACTGAATTCTCGTTTTTCCTCTCTCCCTAGTGCTTGTACGGCTGCTATGTCCATTCCTCCATCATCCCCACCTTCCACAGGAGGTGCTACTGGCTCCTTCAGGTAGGTGGCTGGGACTGGATTCTTTCTGCGTCGCTGATGCTTGGGAAGGGTCCTTGGAGGGCACTGAGGGGACGTGGGACTTGTGTGACAGGGCTGAGAGCCCCGGTGAGTTTTCTTAGATTTCAGCTGTGTGTGCTGAGGCCAGTTTGGTGGCTGGTCTGGTTGTCAAGTACCAGGAAGGAAAGAGAGAGCTGGTGATGGGTGTAGACCTTGCTCACCCAGGGAGAAACAGAATAGATCCTTCAGGGTGCCAGTGTACTTTGGTTTCCTTTTGATTACAATGGAAAAGAAGGCTGAGAAGCCTGTCCCTGACTGTGAGATGCTTGTCGGCTAATAGTCACATGTTCATTTTCTCTCTTGGTTAGCCACAAGGCATGTGTGGGAAACAGGCCTCCAGAGGCATGCCAGGAGCAGTAGGATTGACAGAGATGTCTGTTCCTCCTTGAGGAGGAGCTCCTAGCTCCTTGGGAAGGAGCTCTGCCATCAATTTATGATGTCTGCCATAGAGGGTTTGGAGAAAAAGATGGTATAAGAGTGCCTGCCTCCACATCCTGTGGAGGGTGGCCCTCTACCCACAGTACCAGGCAGACAGCCTCTGTCCATGGTGCTTGGAAGCCTCTGTCCTTGGCGCTAGGCAGCGGCTGCCTATGGTGCTGGGAGCCTCTGGCTATGGTGGGAAACAGCCTCTGTCCGTGGTGCTAGACAGGCAGCTTCTGTCCATGGTACTAGGAAGCCTCTGTCCGTGGTGCAAGCACAGATAAGGTATTTGTGGAGGCCACATAGCCTCTGGTTTACTGAAGGAAACCCGGGAGACAGGGCTGCTATATGGATTGAAGGGAAGAGGATCTATCCACTGGGACTGGAATTGAGCCCCTTTCCAAGCATGTCCTCTGATTTTCACTGATCTTTGTAGAACCTATCCCAACGGCTTGGCAGCATCCCACCCCAAACTCTTCCTACTACCTCTGCCCAGGAGTTGCTACCTGGCTTTCTGCGGTCATCCTACTGTCTGTGTCCACTTCTGTTCCAGCTGGAAAGCACCTGGGTCTTGGTGGCTCAGGGATGTTCTTGACCTGAGGGGCATGATTGGGAGGGAACTGACAGAGGGAAAAGCAAGTCCCCAGCACCATAGCATGTGTACAGACAGAAAAGAACCTCAAAGACTGCTGGGTACAGGAAGTCGCTGTTCCCAGGGAAGATTGGCTGGAAGGTGTCTGTGAGGCTCAAAGCCATCTGGATAGGGAGGCTGAAGATCAGCCTGGTCAAGGCCTCTATCCTGGGCCCGCAGCTGCAGCCACCAGGCCTTTCTGTTCTCCCTCAGTTCCCAGGAATAATTGCCTGTGGTTTGGCGTGTTCATTATTAAATGACACCCTGGTCTATCAAAGGATACGCTGATCTGCAAAGACATTTCACAACACCAGGCTCCACTGTTGCTCACTTGTCCTGGCACTCAGTGTCCCCCGTAGGTTGATGTACAAGTGTCTGGTTTTCTAATTTCTCAGTGATGTGTCCTTGTGAGGGTGTTTTACATGGTCATGCATGCTGCTTCAGAATCTTGCTAATAGGAATGTTCCCAGAAGTAATTAAGCTAGGCAGAGAGTTTTCTCACTACGGAAGTGGTAGTGGAGTGTGGGACTCCACCTTAAGGGCAGCACTCTGGCCAGGTTAGTGTGCACCAGTGTGTCCCTTTCTCAGCTGCTGGCTTCCATAAGCCTTACTTATCCCAGGCAGCCTTCAGTTTGGGGGATTTCTTCCTGGGCTGCCAACTCCTGGGGCCTGGCTCTGCCTCTTTCTTTTGGTATGCATGCCCCTGGTCAGAATGCATCTTTGGCATGCCTTCTCTGTCCTGCCAGGCTAAGAATCCTGCCAGAACAGCTCCTCGCATGCTGGCTTGCTGCCGGTAGTCCTGGTACCTGCACTTGGGAATGGCCCCTCCTCAGGCCCGCTCTGCCTGCCTCCACTGCCTCCCCTCATTCCCCCACGCTCCTTTGGCTTTTTCATTCCACTAAATTTCCTTTGCTGGAATCAGACACCATTGGGTGGTGTGAGAGCCGAGCTCATTTCTCCATGGCTGCATTCTGATGACTCCTGCGGGGGGCAGGGGACTTGTCCCAGTCTCTTGCTTTCATTTCCTGGTTTCTGGGTGCTGCGGACACACCTGGGCTGATTCATGTGCATGCATCTGGTTTGTCGCTGTCCAGTTAGCAGGAAGCTGGATTCTATCCAGCATGGCAGGATCAGCTTTCTTCATGAATGCCTTGGGGCTTCTTCATCTTATCCCACATGAGGAGGGCTCATCACCCTCACCCTCACCTCACACACCAGTCTTGCTTCTGCTCTGTGATCTCGCAACAAGACAGTTCCCAGGTAGGGGATTCCCCACCCCAGCAAGGCTGAACCACAGGAAATTAAGGAGCTTAGGCCAAAGCAATTAGCACAAGGCACATCCTGCCTGCTCAGAGCCAGGCGCTCAACAGCAGCCAATGCTGCTCAGGGTGATTTGCTCCGGTGCTAATTACAACACCAAGACTATAGCATCCTGGTCAGGTTTAATTTCTCTGATATTAAGGAAGATACTGTGAGACACTGGCCCAGATAGAGCTTGGCCCACGTTTGACTCTGACACCAATAGCGAGAGGAAGAGGTTGGTGGGCATGAAGATGTCAGGGTGGTGCCCTCATGAGAGCTAGGACGAGAAGCTGTCAAGTAAGGCCACGTCATCAGCATTAGAGTTTCTGAGCCGTCTTGCTTTCTTCTGGGGAGAATGTGTCTCTCTGTCCCTCTGTGTGTGCCGTTTGCACTCTCTCTCTCTCCCTCCCTCCCTCCCTCCCTCCCTCCTGCTCCACTGCTAATGAGGATTCCACTAGAGTTCAATCTAAGACATAAACAAGCAAGCAGGCCCAGGATGTAGACACTGACATCTGGCTAGGCCACAGGTGTACAAGGCTGTTGTCAAGGCCACAGGAGCCACTAAACAGCTCATGGTAGGCCACTCATGCCCAGGACAGCATCCCAGACTGCACACCACTTGGAGCTCAGATGCATCCGCTCCTCATTCCTCCAGCTGACCAGGCCCCGAGGCCCCAGATACCTACCCACTGTGATGTGCAGAAGGCCTTCTGCAGGTACCACACTCTGCCTTTTCTCACACCCTCAGCCTCACCAGGGGCTCCCATGCCACAGCCATCAGGGCTCCAGCCATCAGGGCCCCAGACTGCAATGAACTCACTACTACATTTTCTAGATGGGCCACCCAGGTCCAGAGAAAACAGGATCAGGCATGGACTCACACAGCAGCCAACTAGGGGGCAGGACATGGATGCTCCAGTCACTGCACCCTGCAAGCCACTGCTCCCAGTGCCTGACATGGCTGTGATTGCAGTTTCCAGGCATGATGAGCCTTGCCAGGGCCAGAGGCAGTACCAAAGGATGAAGCAGAGTGACATGGAAAGGGGTTGCCCCATCTGAGCCCTCAGATCTCAGCTCCCTGGTCTCTGCTGTTCAACCCTTTGAACAAATCCCTCCCACAAAACAAGCCTGTTTTGGGCCATGCTTCCCGGCACACTCCACTGGTTTATTTGCAAACTATTTCTGATTCTAATGAGTGCTTTTCTCTGTGCCATTGTCCTCTAAAACATTTAATGAATGTTTTCTGTGCAGTAAGGCAGGGAGTGTGTCTCCACAAGGCTGCCGTGGTGGTTAGGGCTGCTTAACGGCTCATTCCAGCCTGTGGGGCAGAGGCCGCTGGGATTCTTCCTAGCCCGGCTCAGCCTAGCCCAGCCCTGCAACACAGAAGCCTTTGGGAAGGAGGGACCCTGGGGCTCAGGGGGAGACCCCCAGCACAGGGAGGGGAGCTGTTGATTCGCTGATTGAGAGCTGGCATTTCAACTTCAAGATTGAGGAGCAGCATTGGGTTCTGATTCCAAAGAGCTGGGTTCTAATCCTACCCGGTCCACCCTGAACACCAGCAGCTGTGTCCATGGGACTGACCACTGCTGAACACTGCTTTCTGGCCAGTCACATATCCCATGTCACCAGGCAGAAGTGAGCAGTCACCCAGTCACTGGGAGGACAGAATGAAGGTCAGCCACGACTGTCCTCTCTGCTTCTTCATGGGGCTCCATTGTCACCCCTTTCTCTAGATGAGACATATGGGAGACAGAGCACTGGACACCTTTTCCCAGGTCCATTAAAGTATCCAGAGAAAATGTCTACAAGCCTCTAAAACCCCGAGCCCCCTACAAATAGTGAATTCAGGAAAGTGGTGACAAAATACCTGAGGAATCGTCTTATAAGGAAGAAAGATGTATTTTTGGCTCATGGTTTTAGAGGTTTCCAGTCGATGGTTGCTAGACCCTGTCAGTTTGGTCTGTGGTGGCACTGGACATCATGGTTTAAAGGGTACTGTGAAGTGAAGCTGTATATCTCAGCTGGTAAGCAGAGAGAGAGAGACAGAGACAGAGACAGAGGTAGGAGGGGCCAGGTCCTGACATACACATCCAGAGTAACCCTGCTTCCTCTTACTGGGCACCACCTTTTCATGGTGTCACAGACAGGGGACCTAGTCTTTAGTGCATGGGCTTTCAGGACATTTCCCATCTGAACCATCACAAATACCGCTGCCACCAACAGCAGGCATGGGTCTCAGGGGTCCCTGGACTCTGTGCCCAGTTAAGCAAGGAGGGAAAAGTTCTGAGCAGCTGGACCCTTTGAGTATCATGAGAGTAGAGTTCACCCAGTCCCGGTGGCTTTAACACACCTGTCTCCTCGGTAATTGAGCAGAGGGTGTGGTGCTGCTTAGGATGGGCTGGAACAGAGGTCCAACCTGCCAAGCTTGTCCTTGCTTGAAGCTCATGGAGACCACAGCCCCAACCATGAACAGCTACTTGGTACTTAGAAACGCCATGCCCTGCAGTGTTTTGGTTCCCAAAGCTGCCCTGGGGTGTGAGGATGTGGAGTCAAGACTGGGGTGACTTTTTCCCAGTGTACATGGAAGAAA